GAGAGAGAGAGAGAGAGAGAGAGAGAGAGAGAGAGAGAGAGTTTGTCGTTTTATTTATATAAATTGCTTGCATTTCTTTAACGATTCAATATATTGTCGGGCTCCTATCAGCGTCGCGCAATCATCCAATTTCTTTGTCGATTTAACACACACGTTCTGCAAGCGGTTACCACGGCTCGTGCATCGAGCAGATAAAGCATACACACTGACTGTTACTAACCGATAACCCTCGTACGCTTCCTTCCGTAATATCGCAAAGCAAAATAGGATATCGCTCGCGTTGGAAGGTTCAATTTCGAGAATCATGAAATTATGATAATATTTGACATTGTTGAGTACATTGATTATCACCTAGTCTAAACTGAGGACAATATATTTGTTATTTATAACTACATTTATACTTATTTATAATTACATATTACTATAATTATTACTGCTCGCGTTGAAAGATTTAATTTCGAGAAAAATGAAATTGTAATATTGTAATATGTCACATTATTGAACACGTTGGTCATTATTCAATCGACACTGAGACAAATTTTTGATAGTTTTAACTTTAATTATAACGTATAATTAAATGTTGTTATAATTATAATTATTACTGCTATAATGTTAGCAATAACAACTATATGTATGAAATTACTGTAATTTATAGTCATGTTTTGTGACAACCATGTTACATGGTTGTTCTAAAAAATATTTATAACTATAATTTATAGTAATTGCAAATTTTTTTATGGCAATAGTAATACTAATAATAATAACAACTATAGTTACAGCTATTTTTTTATTCTCAATTACATATATTTATAATTTATTAATTGAACTATACATATAGTTATTATTGCTAATATTATTGCAGTAATAATCGTAATTATTGTACATGTAATACAAGTATCAACAAATTTTTTTCTCACAATCAGTGTATAAATTGCCGTTTGGTGGAACAAATCGTAAAATGTGAAAGATGCAAAAAAATAATTTTTTTCATGTAATTAAAGTGAAAATATTTTAAGTGAAAATATTGCAATAACCTTATAGTCAGGGAAGTTATGGAAATGCATGTAAGCGACATTGATGCTCAGGGAGGGAAGACCCGCAGGAAGAAATTAAATGTCGGTTTCGTTCAAACGGCTTGAGAGGTTCGGGTGGCGAGAAGTTAGAGGAAAGGCGATACTTGCTTCGCTACGGTGCCCTCGGAGGTTGTAATTCGCCCTGAGTGGAAGTTCCGCGGCTCTGGTGCGACAATGCGACGTGGTAAAAGTCACTCCTACTAAGCCACGGGCGTTGCCGGTGGCTAACCATCCTTCCTGGTAGTAATTTATACGATCGAGCTGCCATCCTTCGTCCTGTAAATAAAAGGAGAACGTTAGTTAAACTTTCGTGCTATAGCGCGCATAGAAACGTCATACTGGTGATTAATGGATTTTAACATCGAATTTTAGCGTGGAGATTTTTTGAACGATTTTCTTACAAGAGGCGAAGTCAATTGCGATAAATATCACGGTTCAAAATTTGTGTGGCGCAAATAATGGAACCAAAAAGAGTTGCTCCACACAGAACACTGTGACCTTTTTAAAAATACGAGAACCAGAGTTGACGGCGGAATAAAATATCGCTTAAATTTGCAAATAAATTATCTAGTAACTACCTTATCACGCTAGACATTTCCTGAGACTACTTTCTAGGCCTGATTCATTATTCAGCTCACGGAGTTTGATCATCGAGTTCAATTAGAACGTGTTACGTTTGGCTAAGTATAGAAGTAAGGGATTGGTCGCCATGAATAATCAGGTAGGTTAATTTTCGTACGACCGACTGCTATACCCTTCGATGTCAGGAAAGCACAATCGTTCAATTGAAATCGAAGATGCTTACTAGAACTCTATTACTATTCGTCGACACGTAACGTTTCCACTTAAACGTGACAGTATTAGGTAGCGAGGGTTTCAATGCTGAAAAGAGGTTTCACCCTCAGACCTATTACGTATGTAGATATAATTACTCAAGTCAATCCGAATCCTTAGAAGATGCAATATCGAAATACATGCACGCTATATTTATGAAAGTATTTCTCTCTCTCTCTCTCTCTCTCTCTCTCTCTCTCCCTCAGGTTTATCTATTACTCAACGCATTAAACTTTCTTTGAATAGAAAATCGTTTCGAAAGTTACACGCGATATGAAAATAATATTAAGATGATATATTTATATCTATATTCTAGCAAATTATATATAATAGATTTTGGCATAGGAACAATCGCATGAATACAAGAAATATTCAATCCAGATAATTTGTGTCCCCTTTGGCATTCGTCCCATCGATCGATGGGACTCCTACTTCTCCAATTAACTGCAATAAATTGTTCTGAAGAAGCGGTCGGATTAATTAACAACGTCATTTTAACTTCTTTAAGAAAGAAATTTATCATTCTTTACGAAGTTTTGAAAAGAAGATTAACGACGTGTTATGAAAAAGATATATCTTAGTAGTGTAGTTCTAGAAACTTTTCACACGATTCTATCAAGATCTTCACCAGCAGGGTAGGATCCTTCTTTCTTATCCGCGATGAAGTTTCCGTTAAAATATTGCGCATGAAATAACTCCGTAAGCGTAAACTGCATCATAGCGTTTCATTAAAATTCTAAACTGGATTATATGTCGTAGGCATAATAGTTTCCACACGCGTGTTTTGTGATAGATAAATTATCGTTCTACACGTATGCTGCCTGTGTATATACGTACTAGGCTGGATGTAATTAAAGTACGATCTAATGAAGATGTTTTGCGAGGCAGTCTTTTGTAAGATAGATAATGATGAGATACGAGAGTAGATTATTAAAATCATGCTACTACAAAAATCCTCTGAGCACTTTGAGCAGTCTATTATGAACGAAATGAACAGGAGAAGCGAAATAATTCGACAGTTTATTAAGAAATTCTTCGGATAGTTATCTAATATTGGAATAATAAAAACCGGACAAAGATGCCGTCGCGTCAAACCATCCAATAATCCTCTTTAATTATTTTAAGCAATTTATATCTCGTTGATTGCGCTAATGTTTAGACACGATGTCGACATTGCTTCACTTGTGTATGTCAGTACGTTCCCCAAAATTGTGTTGAATTTCTACCGTTGCGTCGACCGGTGAGAAACGTTCCATGTGCTGTGATCGATGAGCACCGAGGGTGGTTTTCCCTTTCCTTTTTTTTTTTTGAGAGTCATAGAGATATGACAATAGAGGAGAGAGCATAGCAGAAGCGTAGGAAGAGAAATCAGCGGTAATCCAATCTTCGCAAACACGTTGAGAGCAATCCGCGGAAAATAGAGAGGGTTCGGTGGAAATCGATGTTGCGCGAAGACGCACTTTGCGGAACGGCGAACGAGGCGGGCCGAGATTTTTTTGTGCTGCAAATAACAGCACACGTTGCAGAGGATTGAGAGAGAGAGAAAGAGAGAGAGAGAGAGAGAGAGAGAAAATAGCGTAGCGTTTGCTTTCTCGAAACGCTTCGATAGAATTTACCGGCGAACAATGGCCGTAGTAGTAGCAGCGTAACGGCTCTCAATAATGACGTTATCGATTCAAACGCAATTCACAATGCGAGAATATAATGGGAATGTATGACGGTGGATTATCTCGATGACGCGTACATGTCACGCCGGCAGGATCCACATTAATAAGTTCGCATCCCAATTCTCACATGGGTTACAAACTCGATCTGTCGTTCTCTAACCGGGAGAACCGGGTTCGACTAGCTGCAGAATTTTTCCCACTACACAATGGAGTAGCAAGAAAATCCCACTTGATCGCGGCGCAAGTTGAGAATGGTCGTTCGTAACGTGCCCGTCCTTCTAATGGACCATCATTTATCTGCAGCAGCCTTTTACGGTGCCATCCAAAATTTATACTACGTAATAGTTCTCTGACATTTTATATGAAACGGCCGTTGTATACAAACCCGCGGAATATCGACGTTTTATTACGGAGGTCTCTCGTGAAGGTGACGTAGAATTTTCCAGGAAGGTCACAGTATAATACAGTGAATTATTTTATTCTTGTTTTACATTGATAAATAACAAGGATGTAATGATTAACAGTGTTACATTGTGTTCTCGCGAGAAGAAAGCGGAAGATTTTTACGACCTTTTCGCAAAGATGACGAAGTGATTAGGTATGAAGGTAGTTAACAACACGAAAATAATGGGCAGCGTACTGATCGAATTCTCCTGAGGACGGCTGACTCGAGTGACTCAATCGAATTCGCCCTGCCATAAGTCAATTATTTTTCCAGTAATTGAGCCTCCCCATTTCTACACCGTTTTCATCGCGCTTCTTCCTGCGAGGGTCCGACTTCCGTAAAATCGCCAATTGCAGATTGGTCTCCGGCGGTGAATTTAGACGACGTGAGGCGTGGTGTGCTCGTCAATCAAGAAATACGACCATCGTAATTAATTCTGATCGATTGCGTCCTGTTTGGGCGTCCGAGTTTGGTAGTCAGATTAATCCTCGTGTTTGCCCGTGAATATGCGTGAAATATATTTGGAATTGGGAAAGTACGAACTGATTATCGAGATAGAGACGATCGCGCGAGGAGCCTAGAAAGAATGTTTATGTTAAAACTATACGTATGACGTTTTATATTGACAATTACTGATAAAGAAATCTATGAAAATGTCCTTCTCCGATTTTGATGAGTTTTCAATATTGTCTTTTAGATAAAAAAAATAAGGGATATTTTTTTATAATAGTCCACACAATCGACTTTTAGGGAGTACAATAGGTACTCTTTTGAAGAAAAATCGGTTATTGTCTTTTGAAGGAAATATCGTTGAAATTATAAGAGAGAAAGTAAAATGTTTGAAATAAAAGTTGAATAGTTTTAAGAGTATTGTACATATAATAATAATTAAAATTTTTTATTTTTGTTTCCTATAAATAAAAATTGTTTTGTTTAAACAAATATTTTAAAATTATCATAAAGTTACTTTTCAAATCATTTAATTTTTATTTAAAAATTAAAAACGTTATTATTAAACATTGTTTTATCTTTTACAGTTTCTACGATACTCGCTTCGAAAGACAACCGATTTTTTTCAAAGGAACGTTGTGTTCCTTAAAAGTGCGATTGCGCTCTCATAAAAAATATACAAGCTTCTTATTCTTGCCTAAAGAACAACATATTCAAAGTTCATCAAAATTGGAGGAGGATCTTTTTACGAGTGTCTTTATTGGAAGCCAGAATCTCAAAATTATACGTGCGGCAAAAAATAAAGCATTTCTTTATTCAAGTTGGCAAACGCTATTGCGCCTTGGCACAAGGAGAAATTTCGCCATTACATCCGCCCTCGTGAAGGGCGCACATCTAGTATTTGTACCGGTTCGCGCTTCTCAATGGCCATGTAGGAGGCATGGAACAAAACCCGTTGCAGGAAACTTGGGCACTCGTTAGCTGGCCCATGTAAAAAGATCCACTCGAGACACCGATCTTCATCCCATCAACGAGTTAAGTCACGGATGTACACGGTTTGCAGCAACCCTCCCGTGAAACCCTTCATCCTCGTGACACCTCTATATACGCTCTTGCAATCTGCACGCTTCGTCCTGACGGATTCCAATCTCTACTGCGGCTGTTTTGATGCAATCTCGTGGTTCTCTCGTGGCATTATTAACCTATAGATATCCCTTGCTATCCCAAAAACTATTGGATCTCTATCAGATGTATTTACTTAACCGTATACATTAGCGTGATCCGCATATAATAGTGATTCAGAGTTTTTGGTCTAGAATTCTAGCATTGCCACCCATTGCGAATTATATATATATATGAAGAACACATCAAGATATAATGGTTAATTGATAGAGGAAGAGATGATATTATGGCCAGATATCATAGCTCCTCTTGGTATCTTCATTATTAGGTGGCGAATTCTAGTGATTACTTATGAAATTATTTATTCAGTAGCTCGCTGTTACACCACAATGCTTATATGACTAAACACAATAGTCAATATTTATTATAACGTTTTACTTTCGAGCATTTCAAAGCATTTTTAAGGTACACTTTAGCATTTAATTACATAAACTTCTTTGTTCTTCTTAAATTGGAGCGTATCATCGCACGAACATACAATATGTATGTTTAAATTATTTATTATTTAACATTTTTATTGAACTGTAGCTTGTATATACATTTCGAGTTATGCAAAGTTAAACAATAGCGTGGCATTTTGTTAATGTGGCTCTAACTGATTGTTGACAACTTCTTTTCCGAGGTTTTCTCATCAAAATAATTATTCTATAAATTGATTGTAACTCTACTGTTAATTTGTAATTTGCATATCATATGTACTATATATTTTTAATATTGAATAACTTATGTGCGAAAGAAAATATGCGTGAGTATATACATTTGCATGCGTTCTGTAATATTTTATTTTATTTTTTTTTGTTAATTTTGTAACAAGTGCTGTTTTTTAAATAGAATCAGTTTTTTAGATCTAAATTTTTCTGGAAGGCCACATTGCCCTGTTTCTCTTCGAGCCATTACGTATAGTGTCGTCACATTTTTATAAATAGTGTCCTTGATAATAAATGTTTACAATAAGGATCTCATTTTTAGATCGTACATGTGAGAACGACCATTAAGAAATTAAAATACCTATAACGATAAAGCTGGATCTTTAATGCTTAAATAATTCAATGTGAATTATATATACTATATATATAGAGATGCATATGCACCACATTTAGAACTGCGCGTCGAATTGATTTTCCGAATTTATAAACGCAATTGAACTACCGTAATAATACCACAAATTAAATTAAATTGACAAGCAATTTCTTAATAATTTGGTGCTCAATCATATTAGAAAGATGTTAATCTGAAAAACTTGCAAAATTTAAATTTATTGCGAAAAATATTACCTCGGCTGAGAGTCGAAACCCATAATAAATGTTTCGTAACTTTGAATCTAAAATCGATTGAACAATACTTTGCCGAATGTACAATCGTTATTAAATAAATTAAATATTGATTATTAACCAAGTTACTGTAAAAGCTGTAAATGGGGTACCATAATATCAGCTTGTTCTCTAATAATTACAACCACGGGACTATTAGAGACCATTATCGGATTCGAGTAATACGAAGAGAGTTAATGATCATCTTGCATTATGGTTGTTTATTTTATTTGGTAATAGGAGAATCGTCTATTTTCATATATGCTCAGCAAGACTATTGATATTCGTTATCAACGTGTCGTCGTCGGCTGCATAGTCATTCAGGCGTCAGATTTTATTACAAATGGTCTTAGCCGACCATATAAACCCGACTTGACTGCTTCAGTTGTCTCACGTGAGGTGAGATAAATTAATTTCACGCTCGTTACAGTGCGACTAGCACAAGCTCGTTTGCTTTCGCTCAAGCAAAACTTTTATCTGCTGTCGTCCGTGATGCGAAGTGCGACAGCGGCCAAAGTATATATGTCAAAGTATGGCAGGTTCGTTTTTATTCACGTCTATATACTGTTTTACTGCAGCACCGGCTGTTCCCGTTAACGTTTTCAATCCCCCGTCCCACTTGTTCTTACCATTTCTCAAGTTTGAAACCTATAAATCGTTCCTCTCACGGCGGAACGTGTCATATAAAATAAAAATTGTCTTCAAATGACTAGAATGATAATTCAAATATATAATAAACAACTGTTATTTAGATTGAATAATTTATAAATTTTTTATCGTGAACGATAAAACGATACTGAGGCTGACCCAATAGTAAGGTCGAAACGTTTATTCTTTTGTTATTAAATGAGTTAATAATATAAAGTATTGTTTTCGTTAGAGAGAAGAACCTATGAAGGTTTTTATGCTCCCTTCCATTGATAATTAAAACTGTGTCTATTCTTTTATCTTAATTTGTTATCACCATTTATTGATATTTACAGATAGTTATTGTGTATCCTCTTAAATTAGAATTTTTTCGACGGGGAGTCAACGTCAGTGAAGAGATATATAAAAATAACTATGGACAATATCGATGGTCTAAAACGAGCTCAAGAGGAGCTGAGACCAAAACACCGAAGCTAACCGTTCGCTTCTGGATTAAGAGTATATCAGGGTGATATTAACGTGTGTAAATGTACTGAGTGACTAGCTTGAAGAGACTCTTCTTATCTGCCGCGTATTAATTATACAATATCGTACATAATATGCGCGTCGTGAGCGAAAATAAATTTGTTCATATTATTAACGATTGTATATAAGTGACGATCTATTTTATTTCATGACTCGCAGAACACCAAATGGCGCGATAAAATGTATTTTTAGCCTTCTGCATTCGCTCGATCAAATGTAGAGAAGAACGTTGATTCTATCTTGGACGGAATCTAACGCGCATGGAAATCGTCGAATCAGGAATGACCTCTTTTTCATAACGATCTGGTCTTTGGAGAAATTTTTTTACATTATATATTAATAATTAATCAGCGACGAGAATGGATATGATGAAAGAAGAAAAAGAAGTAGCAAATAATGTATAATCATAAAGAGTAAGAAAATAATAGATATGTTGATGTGTTTTAAACTGTTTAATTAAACATTATTAAACGAAGTGTCCTCTCTCTTTCAAAACCGTAATGTAAATATACAACAAGTTCGTGTCCAATTATCTATGCAGCTAAAGATCCAGCTGGACCGTTTAGGGCCTTTATTTCCTATTTGCTAATTATACAATAAATGTTCTATCATCGATAGCTACATTATTGTATAATTGTATAACGTTCACTCTGGATTGTTCAATAATTTTTACCTCCGGCGACTCGTCCGGCACTTTTCCCATCCAGCTGAGCGACAAGATATTGCAGTCGCACTTGGCGTTGTTGTTCTTCTCGAAATGCAGATGCATGGTTGCGACGCGATCGGATTCCCGTCGGCAGGTCCATCAATCTATCGAACCCCGGCACCTTTTCCCGCAGTCCCAACTCCGTGCCTCGCAATCGGATTCCACGTCGTTTCCTCCGCGAGCATTCTCGCGCCGTGCACGCTTCTTCGTTTCGCCGACGGATCCGTGATCGATAATCGAATCACGCTCACACGTCAACGGGTCCGCACGCGACCAGCGTTCCGCGACGAACCCTCATGACTTGAAAATCAGGGCGATCCTCTTCCGAGAGCTTCGCGTCGTCCCTCGGGGGTGGAACGCGCGCGTCGCGCTCACCGCGCGATCTTTTGCTCCCGCGACGTCACCCAGCGCCGGATATTACAATCCGGCGGCACGATGGGGAGGAATCACCGAAGAAATAATCGCGTGATCACCGCCGATGTGAGATACCTTACTATCTCGGTCGACCTTGGCGTATCTCTTATCACCGCCGTTCACCAACCTCGATCATTTGTTTCTTACCGCGGCCGCCATTTTGCCGCCCGAGACGCTACTCCACCTTTCAGAGTGCTATCAGCGATCCCCGTGCCACGCCGCCGCGCCGGGCCGGGGCCGGGGGTGCGCGCTTTACGTGCGGGTGGATGTTTGGCCTCGCGGTACCGCGCGTGTAACCGACGCACGAGCTACCAACGCGAGCCGCGAGCGTGCGTCCGACTGAAAGCTCGGCTGCGCGGACTCGCGGAGTGGAGTGGAGGCAGTGGAGCCGGAGCGCGCGGGTCTCCACCGCCACCGCCACCGCCGCCGCCGCCGCCGCTGCCGTCAGCCGCGCTAGCTCTTGCTTCCGTCCGTCGCGTTCGCGCGACGAGCGTATTGATTGAGAGTCAGCCGTTCCATTCCGTGTGGTCCGCGGCCGCCTCGTGCTCCCCGCCGCATCACTAAATTCGCCGCGAGCTTTTCCGCGCCGCGCCGCGCCGCGTCGCGACGCGGCGACGCGCTATGGAACCGATGGAGCCGCCCCTTTCTGCAAGCGCCTCTACATGAAAAAAGAAATTATGAATACTTTATTGCAAGAGGAAAGAACATATCGATACATTTTTCAACATATTGCTTATAAATTGAATTTTATATTACTAACGATATTTTCTGATATGAAATTTTATTTTGTTACGCGAATGATTGATGTCGTTTAAGTAATAATTCTTTATTGATATTCGATACATTTTATCAAATGTCTGTTTTTATTTATTGTACGCAATGGCTTTGAGTAATTAAAGTTTAGATCAGGAACTATCGTCAGACACTAATAGAGTTTATTTTATAAGCGACATGCATTGAAAAGCGTACATAAGTTCTTTTCCTACATAAAATGTTAATAATTTCTTTTCTTTATACCGGTACCGATATAAATGATTTTGTTGATAGATATAACAACTTTACGCGCGCTGTACTCGTTTTCTAGAGGGTGAATTTCACGCCACTTTGGATGCATTGAGTGAACGACGCTCTCATTGTTTGCAGCGTATGTTTGTCAATTTTTTCCTTTTCTTCGCGCCACCGATGCGCGAACATCTACGACTAAAGTGCAAAAAATTTACGTAATGATTATGTAAATCTTTAAGGGGATAGAGTGTGTATATATGCTATTTTACCGACAAAAGTATCAGGTTGTTGAATGAATGAAGTGTATTACAAAATTAAAGATTCTTTTTCCATAATTAAAATACACATGTATCTGGCAATAATCTATTTTCGTATTAAAAACAGAAAAAAATTAATAAATTATAAATTTTCTTATCAACTTTTACTTTAATATGGCGATTGATAATGATCAAATTACCGAAACATTTACTTTGTAAAATATAGTTATATAGGCCATATACGCGAAATAAAGACAGAACCAGATATAGAATAAATAAACGAGTAATGGTGAATCGTAAAATTTAAAACTGAAAACTTAATTAGAAATATTATTTCTTCTGACAATTCGTGTATAAGCGTGCGATATTAATATGATTAGTATGTATATCGTGATGTGTCTATGTCTCGTAAATCATGTGTGTATGTCGCATTTAATTGCTTCAAACAGTCGCTTCAAACAGCAATTTCATCGATGTTTAAGCGTCACATCAGCATCCCTTTAAAAAACTTATTTTTTAGAAATTAAAATAAATTTTATTTCGGATAAATTAAGTTTACTTTTTTCTTATGACTATATGTATAAACATTATATTATATTATATATAATATATTACTACATATATTTTATGTGTGTGTGCGTGTGCGTGTGCGTGTGCGGATATTTAATTTGACCACATAAATTATGACAAATTTTATTTTTTGTGAAAAAAATATAAAGTAATCAATTATTGGAATAAAATAAAAATGTATACATATAATAAGATCATTAGAGACGGATGATAGCCGATGAAGAAATATTGGGCAACAGAAAGTTCGCGCTCTTGTCACTGATGTCGCAATTGCTTTCGGATTCGCTACTTCCTTTACTCTTGCCATTTTCCTGATTGACCTTCGGTTGGAAGTAGCGGAATCCTCGCGTTCTCTTCGCTTTCTTTGCTTTTACTGCTTTTCCTACTTTTGGATTGGCTACTTTCATTACTTCTTATCTTCTTTGCTTTCAGATTTGTTATTTTCATATTATTCTCTTTACTTTCAAATTTGCTGTTTTCTTTATTTTGCTATTTTCTTTGCTTTTTCACTGCTTTCTTTACTCTTGTTATCTTCCTTTTGCTTCCAGATTGACCTTCAGTTGGAACTAAAGGAATCATCACGGTCTCCTCGAACTCTCTTGTAACTGGACTTCGATTACGATTTCAAAATGTGGAAATGTAAAAAAATTCAATTTTCTTAATTACACAAACACTAATTATATAACATTGAGCCTTTCAAGCCAGAAAGTTTAAAACTGAATTTCTGTCTTCAATTTACACTTTTCTTGTTAATTTCTAGTAAGATATTTGTCAACAAATAAAAGAAAAGATAGTATTTTAATAATTTATGAGGATCAATTTATCATTGATGATTAATTTTCTTATTTAGTTTAGTTTTTTCTATATTATTTTAAAAATGTACCTAAGATTTTTTATTACTGAATAATCATAAACTGAATAAACATAGATTAAACAAAAGAAATATTTTGGATCGATCCTGTTAAATTCCTGTTAAAAATCATCGTAACATAATTAAAAAGCAGATTATTAAAGCTACAATTTTGCTTTATTAAATGATAATTGCAAAACTTATGTTAAAATGTGCCTACATAATTTTGAAATATATCTACAAATTTTTCGATATTTATATATATTTCCATTCTACAGCCAGAACTTTTTGCGATAATATATTTTTTCACTTACTTTTTCTTACTCCTACTTTTCTTTTTCATCTTTATAACCTTTTCTAATATATCAAATTTAGTCTTAATAACTCATTTTAAGTAAATTTTGAGTATTAAGATGTTTATATCATAAATAGCAGATATTAATTGTTTTAAAATAAAGATGTTATACCTAATATTTTTCGTTTAACACTCATCTCTTTGTCTTTTAACTGGCATTATTTTTTCTGTGTCATCCGTGCAACTTTTCGAGTTATTTTGCGAAAAATTTTTTTGTTTGCCGTATCTGCTATAAATGTCGCATTTTTTACAAGGAAAGTAAACATATATGGAAAACATTGAATTTGTTATATTTACACGTTTATGACGTTTTTGGTTATTATTATAACTATTATATCTATACTATATTTAATCGATAGGATAAATATTTAAGAAATTTTATAACGAAATTTTGCATAAAATTTATAATTTGCAATTATATGGGTATACTTATAAATAATAGATGCAAAAACTCTGATCTTTTCTAATATATTTATAACTGTTTGCGTAATGAATTTTGACATAATCGAAATTTTGGCAAAACAATAATGATATGGTGAATCATTTTAAAGGCATATTTGCCAAATTAAATTTGGAAAGAAATGGTCCAATAATTAACAAAAATACTTTAGCTATATTTTAAAAGCATAATTATCTCTCGTCCATCTCAAAAATTTTTAAACAAAAGAAGTAACAATTTTCTAATAACCGATCATAGATCGAGACTTGCGCTACAGGCGAAGTCGATTTCATAACCACCCCTCTAATAATTATCGAGAATTTTAAACGTCCCCCCCCCCAAAAAAAATCTCGCCAATTGAAATCTTAATCTGTTAAGCTAATATATCCTACGAAGATCTATCCCCAAAGATACTTCTATATAAACCACGATTTCGCAAGCCGAATAGTTATTAAAAAAACAGTCGTTCAACAAATTTAACCGGTTATTCGAATAGTTGTGCAGAGATGCAGAGAGTTAATCATTTAGTTAGTGCATTTAACATTTGACTCCGTGCTCAACATCCATTACTTTCTTTGGACCAGCGCTTTAAAGACAATCTGCATTGACCGAACTTTCCACGCAAGGTTTCAACAATCATTCTTCTGGAGCGAGAAACAATCCTATATTTTTCTAAGCGAAACTTCAAATAGTAAATCACTTATTTTTTTCTTTTGTTTTTCTTTTTTTCTTTCTCTTACATGTTATTCATCGATCTTTTGTTATTTCGTTTTAATCAATCATCCTTCCAGCTTTCTGTATTATTGCCTGTTAACTCTTACTTCCATCCATCTTTCCTTCGAGCGATTTTCTCGATAGATCACCTTTTGCGCTCATTCTCCAATATTCATCGAATTATTCGATGGATTCTATATCCGCTATTTAGAAGTTCGATTACTCCGCGTATTACTTCATTCGTCGTTTTTCCGTTTACCGGCCGAATCCTCAGATTTTAGTCTTATTTCCTTCCTTATGCAGAGTCTGGTAAACAATTTTCGTTTTTATTATTTCTTAAAATGTTCGTAGTGGGTGACCGTTCATCTCGTTTGCATCTTTCCTAATGCGCGGCTAAACGCCAAAGAAGCCAGCGGATTAGGAGAAAGGCTCCTTGACGAATCTTATTGCTATCGAAATTTTTAGATAACTTGAATATAAATAATAATGATGATGATACTAATCCTAATAATAGTTTAAATAATAATTTTAATAGTAGTAATAGTAGTTTTAGTAATAAATAATATCAAGAGAGAGAAAACACAGACCCTTCTTCTAAGCATTTTTCCTCCTTTTAATCGTCGCCCTATTTCACAATAAGAAGGATTCAATATGATCAAAATTAGACTAGCGATAATTATTTGAAGATTAATTTGAAGATTAATTGATTCGGACCGAAGTGAAAAAACGTCCGCCCTGGCGCGTCACCATCTCTTGACAAACGTGACACTACACCTATAAAAATTGCTCTTACCTATTCACTAACACGTTAACAAACTGAAATCTGGCGGCACCAATCACGAAGAGGAATCGCTTATGTCTCGACTTTTACTAGAGTGATTCTAATCTCTTATAGGATCTCTACTCCATCCCCTTTCACGCGGATGCGAGACAAAGCGTCTGCTCTAACGTCCTGTAATACTCCATTCTTCTTATTCCTTCTTTCTCTAAACCAACCCATTCATATATTCGGAATTTGAACGTAACACGATTATTATAAGGTAAAAATATTAATTGCAATATAAAGTGTTATATACATTCAGCTAAAAATACAAAATTTTAGAATCGAACGGTTTTTGGGATGCATGTAAATCGATCTTTTGGAAGAGTCGAGCATTCGAAAATAATTGGATAACGTATCCTTATTTGTTTCTTCGATATATCGCCATACCGTCCGCAACAATTAGCGCGATGGTACATGCGTCATATATATTTAACAGATATTTTTTCATGAGATATTCTGAATACACATATGTGATTGGGATATCGTATAAATGAACGTTAAAGTTAATATTAACACATGGTTGCCGTTCTTGATCAAAAGGAGAAAAATAGGGGACTTGAAAGGATATATTTCTATCAGTTTATTATTAGTCCGTTTTCAGAATACAGTTAACAATGTTGGTTTATTTTTTGAGATTACATTTGTCGAATTGCAACATTTATAGATAATGTACGACAGTAGATGTTCTCAGGGCCACAAGAAGACCAGCTTCCAAGAAATAGTATATTACTTGTCTCAATACCAGCTCACGTTACAATACATATTATGTACAAAGCATGTAGCAAGTAAATGAAAATAATTAGTTTTAGATCGTGTCATATAACAAAGGCAATTCAAACATTATTGTGTTTGAGATATATATAATAAATAGAAAATTATCTACACCAATATCTGCTATGTACGCTAATCTGTCATCTGCGCAGTAGGAAAAAAATTATAAGATGGCGACTCATTACATTATTCAAATTGCATTATTTTAATTTAAACTGACAATATGTATTCTGGCATAAATCCGATTTTGATAAGACCAATGACATTTTCCTGGTTCACTTGTTCAAGGTTTGGCAATCCAAGATCCTTTGAGCTTCCATCTGCAAATGACAATAAATGAATCAAATTTAATAAATCGTGAATGACAATGCATGTTGCTCTTACAATCTTTATAAAAAATAAATACTTGAAACCAGTGTTGGATACAACATCTAGATACTTTAGCTTTACCTATGTAGGATTCACACCGCCTACGACATCCGACATATGACGTTCAATGTCCAATAGAAAAATTTGTTTCCCAAAGATAAAAGTGTCACTAACTAGAATCGAATTCTCTTATTGGATGTCGTATGCAATGTGAATTTTACATAAGTGAATTATCTAGATCCTTATAGACAGAGTTATCTATATCTGTACTTGGATACTTTTTTGTATGGTACCTTTTAAGTTTAGATACGAAAGTACAAGGTATTTATTTATACATGTTACGTCATTATAGAAACTTAATTTTTATTGATTGTTATATATTATTGTTTTTTCCTAATTCGCAATTTTGTGCAAGTTTTATTTGCTTTATCGCTTAGGTAATTTTAGTTCTTAGAATTTAATGAATAGCGACTAAAGATAACTTCATAAAAAGAAAGTGGCAAACTAATTACTTGACGCGGTTTGATCGTAAGCACCAAAACTTATTACAAATGTAGGAAAAATCGCAATTCGCCATGTTAGTAAATGATATTGTTTTATAGTTTCTAAATTTTTATCGTTATAAGTTGGAAATTAAGTTGAATCTAAGTTTTTTAGTTCCTACATTTTTATCACTGTAAGTTGGAAATTAAGCTGAAACTCAATTTTTTTTACTCATTTATATCTTTATCAAAGGACTTAGAAATTTTTTCATTTCAAACAAAGCCAAGCAAACAGCTTTAAAGATTCAAATTAAAAGATAAAAATAAAGATACTTTATAAAATGCGATAGTCTATCGAGGTGACGTATATGTACTTATGATTTGCATTATCTAAACATTTTTATATGTACTACATAAGTAATAATTTTATATAAAATAAAACTTGTATATATAATATAAAACTTGTATATAGCTTGTTGTGTTCTTTTTTCATTTTTTTTTCCTTTTTTTTTGTTAAAAGTACCTAAAAAAATATTTAAATTTATCATGTACTTTTATGTTGTACTTGTATCTATACTCAGGTAATTTTTTAAAAATATATCTATAATTATATATATATACATATATGTATGTATAATGTATGTGCACACACACACACACACGCGCGCGCGCGCGCGCGCACACAGAGAGTGTCTCATCTAACTCGAGTATCTGAAATATTTTACTTGATTTCTATGATAGAAAAATATTTTAGATGTAAGTGGAATGGTTTCAAGGGAGACGTATTTTAGTTTAGTTCTCGGCTTCTTTCTATTAAATTCAATCGTTTTTTTGTGCAAAAATGCGTCGAATGAGCCTAATTTTATCAACATCACGTGCCAGAAAACTAACTTAACAATTTCCCAAAAAGTAACGATTCGTTACTTTTTCAAGTAACGGTAACGATAACGTATTATTTTTTTAACGTTTCCAACTCTGACCTACTCTTCAAACAGTAGCTGTTCCAACATTGCTTGAAACAATATTTGCACGATGATTTATGATCAACAACAATTATATCGAAACGATAAATCTTCCATCATAATTAGAATTAATATAAGTAAAAAATACACGAGAAAATCAATTGAGTTCTTACAATGATAACGTTTTATAACGATTTATTAAATTTTTTAATTAAAACTTTGAGAACTAAAACTTTAATTTTTATAACTCATACCTGAATAAACGAATATAACTTTAATAATTGTTCCAGCGATGCACCTTGCGGCGAACAATCCATATTACTCGATCTAATTCGCATATCTTGACTTCTTTTACCTTGGCCCCATCCGGTAGAAAAATTTAATTGAGCTTCACCGTCCGCAACAAGGATTAAGAAAAGAAATGCTATACCAAGTAAACTCATAGACATCTTACAAAACCTTAAAAAAAATTATATATTATATTACTGTATAAATAACGAGAATATTGTACTTTCGTATAAAATTATCAACTATACCATAAATCCCGGCTCTCGGAGATACTAATAAATTGAATTTATAATATGATAAATAAATGATTAATATTTATGTAGTTTTAAATATTTATTAGTTTCGTTACATTATAAATATTTATAATGTAATGAAATAATAATGTTTATAAATATTATTACGTTATTATCGTAATAATAAAATATTTTTGAATATTTATACGACTAACACCGTGAATGCGTTAAATATGCATGAGATATTATGCGTATTTAAAATATGCTCAAAGCTAGGAATATTTCTTGAAGGAAATCGTATACGTTCATAATAATGCAACCAAAAATACTAGCTATATGCAATCTTTTAGAAAGAAATTTATAAATTCTCTAAAAAAAGTTTTAAAAAACCTATTATATTCACAAATCTTTACACTTAGTATGAAATTTAAATAAAATTTGATCTCCGATAAAATAAAATATTCTACTTCGAGAATTTCTTTTCCTTTGTATCAATAACTGCGTTTGCTTCAAGCATCAATTCAAGCAGCAATTTGATATAATCATTGTGAGCGAACTTGACTGCTTGTGTAACGAGCCAAAATAATAGCACTATTCTCACAGGAAATGAGAAGAAAATAAAAAACAAAGAAAAGAAAAAGGAAGACTCACATGGTAACACTTTTTTTTACAGATAGATATACAGAATGGTCTAATTTTTGTTAAAGATAACGCACACAATGCCGATGTGCAAGAGAACTCGTTTACGAGAGTCCTTAGATGCGGTTGCTGGTTTTATACATTACTGGACCCCTTACTTTAACGCGCGCGCACATTACAACATCTCGATACACTCGATCGCTATCCCAAGAGGGATAATGAAAATTCTGCGCCGGCGTTAAGCGTTTCATTTTACAAACTGTCCTAGAGGTCATTTCTCGTGCGATTCTAGCACAGAAGTCGAGACGCTAATTGAGATATAAGAGATTATGAATAATATGCAACAGAGATAAATTTAAAGATATTATATAATTTATGAGAGATCGCGATACTCTTTATAATTTTGGTTGTGACTTTATTACCCTACGAGGCCGTCGATCGTTTTCTGTGTGCACACACACACGTATGCAGTAATTAATATATGCCGAGTAATATCGATGAAATTCTACCACGTTATAGCTACATCAAAATAAATATTAAATATTTATTTGCTACATTTGCAATGATATCAAAATATGAAATTATATGTGGTCTTGATATAACCTTTTTTTTAACGATCTTTATATATAGAAGGGGTTTCGTATAATTTAGAAAGTAATAATGTTATATAAAAGACAATAAAATAAGTCAGAGGCATACAATAGGATACAATATGTTGTTTTAAAAAGAAAAATTATTTTGAAAATTGGAGAATTAATAATATAGAAAACTAATATATAGAACTAATATATAGAAAATTAATATATAGAAAACTTTACAGAGTATTAAAGAAAGGGCTCGGGATTTTTTGTCGTTTTCTTCATCATTTTTTTCTCTCAATTTTATATATTTATTACTAAAAAAAAAAGAAAAAATTAATTAAGGCTGATTTACATACATATGCAATATATGTAATATATTGTATATATAATCCTTAATATATTAAT